TTAACATTTACCGGTCCGGTCCGGTTAAACCGGCGGTTTGCCGCATGTAACTCGTTAACCGGACCGGTTATTTCAGATTTTTAAGAAAAATTAACCACCGGATTTTTAAGGCTTTTTTAACCGACCATTTAATCGATCCGCGGTCCGGATTGACGGTTTTTTCCGGTTAAAACCGGACTGTGAACACCCCTATCCAGCGGCGACAGTTTCCCATTATGGTTTCTTATGCCATGACTATAAACAAGAGTCAGGGACAATCCTTATCTCATGTTGGCTTATTTCTTAAGAAACCAGTGTTCAGTCATGGCCAGTTATATGTTGTTGTCTCCCGTGTCACTAACATAAAGGGTTTGAAAATCTTAATTTGTGGCGAAGATGACGTGCCAAAGAATCAAACCAATAATGTTGTATATAGAGAAGTGTTCAATAATATATAATTTTTTCAGTTTAATTATATGTTTATATGTCTATTCTTATGATCATGATCATTTTGTTATACACAATTTATATACAAAATATAATTATAAAAAGTTCACAAGTGATAATATCCCCGTACATCGCACGGGTGATTACTAGTTGTTATAATACAGGACGGGTAATGTATATTTTACCAGAGTAATGCTATATGTACATAATATTGTACATAGGGGTGTACATAACACTCACATTGAGTGAGACCCACAAAAAATTAAAAATTAAGTGGACCCCACTCCATGCGAGTGTTATGTACAGTACATTTATTATGTACACGTAGCATTACTCATTTTACCAATGTGAGTAATGAGTACACTTAGAAAATGAATAGTGTATACCTAACCCGCCCACCCGCAAACGTAAAATAAGAAAAAAAAAAAAATCTTCTGATTGGCCAGTAGTACTACCGTGTGCTCTGGCACACCTAGCTAGGTGTGCCACGGCATATTTTGCACGCGCCACTCACTCCCGAAAACTAGAAAATTAAGAGAGTGTAGTTCACATTCCTCTTTTTTTTTTTTAATTGAAAAATGAGACATATTACATAAATTAAAATATTATTAATTATTTATATTAAAAAAATAAAATAAAAATACCAAAATTCATAATTTTTTATTATCTATAAATAGAGACCACATTTGATAGGTTTTTGAATACAATTAATTTTTCGGTTTTTCGTAATTATTTTATTATACTAACATATTATGAACATGTTACATAATAAGATGAATATGTTTTCAAATAAGATGAACA